ATGAAAAACCAACATCCACTGTTCCCCCTCCCACTCGCCCTCTTCTGACTCAGTCGCCTATTTATTCATCTACTCACCCACTGGTCTTCTGACAGAAATGCACCATGAAAACCAAAATATAAGAGCCAAAATAATTCTACAGTAAATTACCTGTGGCCCTCTTGGTATCTATTACTCTTCTACATTTCCTCGCCCTTAAGACCTTTAGAGATGAAAGTCTTTTGAGATGTTATTTTATGTACTAATTTTAAAAACATAGTACAATTAATTGCAGTCTATAAGCCAGTCTACAGAAAAACTAAATTAATAATTATGGCCATCTTCAGTATATGCAGGTCTCTAGCAACAAAATCTTGCCTCAGAACCATCACATTATAAAAGCATCTACTATTTAGTATCTTGAATAAATTTTCAAGAGAAAAATAAAAAGTAAGCCTGTGAAAGAAGGCAAGTGCTTTGCCAGGAGCCCACATTCAACTGACCCTTGTTCAGGCCCCACTGTTGCTACTTCAAGGATGTGGGGTTTGGAGCACTTTCTTTGCTGATGGCATCAACAGCTACTACCCTGGTACTGGTATCATGAACCACGTATCGTCCAAGTGACCGAATCAGTATCTTCAAAACCACACACAAATACACAGTGGTGTTAATAACCTACTGCACCATGATATTTTTTATTAGAAAAGTCATGGTAAGAAAGTTTTGCTACTTTGATTCTTGCTTTCAACTCTCCAAGATAACAGTTCAAAGAAAAATTAATTCTAGATTATTATACAAAATGTTTACGAAATCTTCGGAAGGTTTTCAATGACTGCTTTAACTAAATCTGCTTATTCCACCTACTTTTCCGGAACTTTATCTTTTTCAGAATGGAGTGCTCTCTATCTCATTTCAGCCTCCAAAAATGTGTTTGAACAAATCTGTTCTCCATTGAGAGAAAAAAAAATACAATAAAAATCAGCTTAAAATAAATTTATTAAACAATACAAAAATAAGCATGCTGGAAATCAAGATACATAAATAACATACAATGCAAATGAAAAATGGAAAACGAGACAGGTAACTTAACAACTGAGCCAAAAAGTACAACACAAATGCTAAAACAAAATTTTAAAAAGCATTTACATTTCTAATGAAATGTTAATGATGCTGACAAAGAAAAACAAACAAACTGCTAAAATGCTTGAATATCAAGAATTGCTATTACTGTAGCACAGGTGAACACTAAAACCGTTGCAGACTTCAAACATTCAATGATTAGCCTCTACCACCGCATTCTTTCAGACCCGCTCCCCAGACATAATGCAGGCATGGATAAGTTGCCACACAGGACCTAGCAGTGGTCCCAGCTATCTGTGTACCCTGCCATGAACAAGAGCCAACTGCAGACCAGAAGAAGAAATTGTGAGTGTAGGCAGGTTACAAAATGATTGGTCCAAAGAAGTCTCCTCCTGACCCCTCCTAACTAGAGGCTGGCCTAAATTCTGAAACAGGCTTCAAAAGCATGTATAACAGAACTGTAAAATATATATGTGTGTAAAGACTGTGTAAGCTGTACCCTAAATATTGTTATTATGCATATTAAGGATCTAGTAGTTTCCTTAATTTTATCTATCCCATGAAGGACTTGCCTCTACCACAACGTCTGTATGTAACTAATGAACATAAATATGGTAAAGATTTTTATTTTCAAATTGAAACCCAGATGGAACCATCTTCAACCACGTTTTTAGAATTAGCTTCAAACAGTACTAAAAATAAGAAAATAACGTGTAGAATTAGATCAAGTAAATCCTGCATCATACATTTTCTTTCTGAATTCAATCAGTAATTTAACCAGCAACATGTCACCACTGTAAATACTTTTCATTAGCATCACAGACACACTACATTCCCTCTTGCAACTGAGGGTATTGCAGGTAACGACATGCAGTTTTGCAGGATTGGATACTTCTTACGTCTCTGTAACTACAAGTTTACTGTAAAATTGTCAAACAGGTGAGACATTTTTATAATTCGAGACTTATCTTTTACTTATTTTACATTATTTTCAAGATAAGCACTGACAAACCTAACCTTATCATCACTGATAAGATTATGAAACTGCTATTATTGAGCAATTTATGACTGACATTTATTAAGGACACCTGCACCACAGATTTACCTCTTTATCCCAGTAGGACCTCAAATTCTCTGAAAATTGATGTTCTGTATTGTTTTGCTTAAACACTTTAATCCTAAGCTTCAAAGACAGGAAGCCCATCCTTTTACAATACACAGCTAGATGTAGTTTATTCAGGGTTTAGTCTCAAGCTTATTTCAAATGTTTATGCTAAACTAACAATACCCAAACGGAGTAATTAAGAACAGCTTGCTTTCTCAGAGAACATCAGCTTTGCTTTATGCATCTTCCCAAATTCACAAACATCCAGATGGGTCAAAAAAAGGGCAGGAAAAACCCAACCCTCCCCTTATGCAAAACTCACATATGAATGCACTTTGAAGTTTTAGATAAACTAAAAAGGGAGAGGGGGCAAGGAGAAGGGGTGGAGGTATTACTAAGAAATTACCTGTCATTGTCTCATAAAATACTCAGTGAGCTAATACCATTTATCGCTACTTGGACAAGTTTTCTGCAGTTTTATAAAGCAGCACTCTGCGTGATGTGTACTAGTGGTGGGATGTATCAAATTGTCTGCAAACTTATAAAGAGGAAAACTTCATAGAGTATAATTTTTCTAAGATTTTTAGCATCATTAAGAATCTAATAGCTACAAGTGTCGAGAATTTAGCAAGTCTGTGCCCTCTGTTCAGCATTGCCTATGGAGTCTATTCAAAGCTCACATCCACTATTTCAAGTTACACCCTACACAAGATACTCAAAATGATCAAATTATGCAGATGAACAGATGCAGTTGCCTGTAGAAGAATGCAAATCCTGTTCCTTAGCAAGCTGACAGAGGTGCAAACTCACCATCATTTTAAAAGTAGCAATTAATGACAGCTTTTTTGAAAAATGCTCATATGTAAGTAAATGTAACCTCTGATCACACATCTGGACATGCACACACGTTAGCAGTTGAAAAATAAGTTAATTGTAAACAGTTTTAATAATATCTACCTATCTGCTTTGCTCTGAATGTATTTCCTGCTCACTACTCAGTTGGTTACCACTCTGAACCCAGGATTGCTTACATTCCTGTCTAGGGTGGAGTACAGCATTATGAGTAAGGCAGACTTCTGACTCATAACTACCAGCTGGCAGCACAAGCAGCAAGACACTAAAATAGTTTGGTAAGAAATCTTTCTGCCGCATTACTTAACTTGCAAACAAGGCAAGGGTTTCCCCACCCCCCTTTTTCCCCAGTCCTCTCTAGCCATTTTTGCTCTTTTTATTTAAATGTTAACATTAATAATCACAGAAGGTCTGACTAAAAAAATAAATATACTCTTCACTAGCATGGCATATCCAAAGGATCCATTTCTGTTCAAAGCAATTTGAAAGCTCATATAAAAAACCCAAAAGGATACAATAATAACAGGACTCAGAACCTACCTCCACTTAATATACAATTATTTAGAGATTCATGAATATTCTGTATTTTGCTAAGACTACTTTACTTTGTATCTTAAATTAAAAAGATTCTGTCTTTACATGCTGACCCTGATCAGAGGACACATTTTTCTAAGTCTTTGCTTAGCTCTAAAGTTAATTTACTTTAAATTCTCTGATACAAACAAAAATTGACAGATATACACAAAAGCGGTATATCTTTGAAAACATTCAGATTTACCTTTTTTTTTTTTTAAAGTAAACATGTTTTAAGTAACTACAAAAGTCAGTTAACAATTTTGGTGGTTGTTGCTTGCATGTGCTTTCTTCCCGCCCCTTGAATCTTGACAGTCTTTTTGGTATAGCATACAGAATTTACACAAAATGTATATATAAACGAAACACCAGGCGAACAATATTCAAATCAAAGTTAAATCTAGAGATGCTGGAGGGTTTTTAAAATGAAGAATGTTATGAAACTAGAACCCATTCTTTTAGTTTTGCTCTCCCCGACCTTCCATTCTATACACTACGGTTCTGGAGATGTCCTCGTTTGATTCAGGTGACACTTTTTTCCATACTGTTTCTTTTAAAGCAAGTTCTTGCTGGAGATTTTCATAGTCCATTGGTCCAAAGGAATGCTAGTTGTTCAAGCAACATACATTATTTATTAGTGTATTTGAAGGAAAAAATCTGTACTTGCAGTCAATGCTAACAGACTCGAGTTTTTCACTTTTTCACATAAACAGTTATTTTCTCTTTTTCAGATACAAAAAATTTGAAATCCCAAATTGGGTATTTTTTAGACATATACATGCAAATAGAAGCACTTTAAAAAAATCATTCTACTATATCTTCATGCCTTAGTTAAAACATTAACTGCAATAAAAGCAAAGAGCTTTGCTTATCCTTATCTCAAGCACCCTCACACTTTTATCTTTTGTACATGTAGCTGGAGTGGATTCGGTTCATTCCCAGCGATTGCTTATATTGCTTCCTTAGTAACAGGCACTTGTCTACAGCACTGCAACGCCTGAATTCACTGCATGTGCAACTCTCAGCAAGTCATGTGGTCACTGAAGAAATGCTAAACATACATCTCGTGCACTGCAGCACAGAATGGAAAGGCTAAGCCCACCAGCTGGCCATTTTTCTATTAAAGGCAACCAGAACAGCAACATTCTTTGTATTTTTTTATCAGATATCATATACTTACTCTAGAGCAACAGAGATGAATGGAGTTACAAATCTAATATGAAACTGTACTACAGAAAACCCTGTGATAACGTGGGCCACCCAGGTAAGTGTCCACTAAAAATGTAAACTACTTTATCTGAAAGCTTTGATGCAATACATGTCATTGAGCAGTTCTGCATTTAAAGAACTTTCCATATTTCTTCTGGTATCTACAAGCAATGCTCACTAAACACACACATTATTAACTTACCCGCTGATCACCACCTTCTCTGCGAGGATCGAGCTTTTTTGCAAAGTGTCTCAAATTATCGTAGTTATGGAAATTGCACAAAGAAACCAGGTCCTGCAAATATTTAGAGAACATACATTATTACTTGCATATGACGGTCAAATGCATGTAAGATTATAATACTACTACCAATTATGCTTTATATCAGATTCTAGTAACTTAAACCAGTCATAGCAGAAGCTTATTAAATAAATTAGTACCGATGTCTGTGAGGCCCTTTGAACACAATAAATCATATGATTGTTCTAATAACACCTTTAAACTCTGTTTTGAAGAGATACAGAACAGGTAGCAATTTGCAAAATACCTGTTTTTAATGTATTTCTAATCCAGCTGTATTAAACACTTCAGGAACAGGAAGGATAGTTTGGGCTAGTCTAGTACATAAAATTTTAAAATTCAATCAAAAGGATGAAATAAGAAAATTGTGGCAATTGATTTGAATTCAATTTGCATGATAACATGAAAGGTTATAATTACAGAACATTGGTATGTCGTTGTATTTTTAAATGTGAGTATTATAGTGGTGTTACTTGTATGCCATAATCGTCTATCATTTTTTAGGTCTTATTATAACACAGAGTAAACGTAGTAAAACCTTCACCTACCTACTGTTCTGTGATTCTGTGTTTAAATTACTGAGCACATGAGACTTTAAAGTATTTAAACTAAAACTAGTAACTTCTTAGTACTCTTAATTTGCAGCTGTACAGATGTTAGATAAATAGAAGTATGAAAAGTTTTAACTGTTGTTCATCCACATAAACTAAGCCCTTGCATAACATAAATCCGATGCTGCTGTGGATAAGCTGAGTGCAGACTAGTCATAGAAGTTCACCCTAGGAGCAGTTATCAGTGCAGCTTAACTGCTATCCCTACTTAGAGAAGAACAGAGGGCTAAAAAACAAAAACCAAAAGAGAGACTGGTTATGCCTTCAACTTCACAAATTTACCAACAATGTTATGTCTCCTATGAGGCTCTAGATAGCCTAATAGTCTCTTTTGAGACTTCTTTTTTCCCCATTTATAATTTTTAATTGGTATTACAAGGTGATTTTAGGGAGAAATAAAAAGGAAGGAAGGCAGTTTTTTTTATATTTTACATTCCCCTCTCCTACAAAACATCCTTATTAATCATTACAAACTACTCTATAAAATCTCTCCTGCTTCTAATGCTGCTGTCTAATGACTGTCCAGAGTCCTTTAAAAAATGAGACACAAAGCTAGGAAGAGCTTGCCCAACAACGGAGACTGATATATGAAGAAGTTTTTTGAGTCAGATTATAAAAATCTGTTCAAAAAATACATCTGAACAGGAATATTTCATGAGAATATTTTTCTTTTATTGTAATGAAGTAAGAGTTGCATTTCCAATGTTTTGAAATTTGTTTCCTTTATGACTGGAAAGGAAAAAAAGCCTAAAAATAAAGCTCTGCAGCTTCTGATGTAGCATACAGGCTACCAGCTCCTTCATTACTTCATGAAGTGTTCCTTTTCAAAGCTTTTCCAGAAAAAATTTCTCCAGTGGCTTTGGCACTGTATATTCTAAATGCTTAATGAATTACAGTGTTACTAATTCTAAAATGCAAACATATCTTCTTGGCCTTTCACCCTTGGATCAGATAAATCTTGCTATGTATGGAGGAGTAATGAGTCACTGTTTAATTCAGTCAGATCTTAGCTATGCCAATGAAAACTCAATAAGCACCAGCTGCAGACAAAAAAAAATAAATCCGAAGACTAAAGGTAATGCTGCTTACATGACAAAAGTGAATTCCTTTAACACTGTTGCCCATCTTGTCCAAAGGAGGTGACCAGCACATCAAGCCCATAACGTTAGGAACAACCAGAAGAATCCCACCAGCAACTCCAGATTTTGCAGGAAGACCAACCTATAGGATAAAATTAGATAGTTACTGTCCTCTGCAATAGTGAAGCATTCTTCACTATTGTCACACAATGCGTTTGCATTTTACTGAAGACCATTATGCAGCATTTGTAAAATGAAAGTAATTTGAGCTGGGAAAGCATTATAATTTATCTCTTTTTAGATAGACAATAACCTAAAGCACAGTTCGTGGCAATCCAAGGTACACTATCAAAGTTATTTGCTCTCAGTAATACAGAGAATCAATAAAACAGCGAAAAAGATAATTCCAATCTATTATAAAAAAAGCAATTATGACTAAGCAAGTAGTACACAAGTGTATCTGTCATGAACAGTTTGCAACAAGAGAGTAGTACAAAGCTATATACATTAAAAAACCTTCACCGGAATAGGTAAAAAAACCCACCCAAAACCAAGAAAACAGAAGAGGTTGTCTGTAAAGTCATACAATAACCTAGCTATTTACTCTCTGGATAAAGATACTGCCTTTTTTCCAATAGGAACTAACATATCCCCATAGCTCAGTAAGCAGTCATTTCTACATCACACGAAGCATTATAATCCATTTTACACACATGCAATGAGGAAAAATTAAAAACACTCAAAATGCTGAGAACACAAATAAGATGCAGTACATCTTGAAACGCTTGCATATAAGAAACGTACTGCTGGAAAACAGAAGCATGGTACACACGCTGTGTATGGCGGTCACTTTTACAACACATGAGAACAGCTCATTAAACAGACTGAGTCAATGAAGAAAAAGCAACTGCAAAGACTTTCTGCTATCCTTTACTCCCATATAGCAGGATTTCTTCAGTTATGCTGAAGAAAGTTATGCTGATGCAGTTACATCTTCATCAATCATCTGTTTCCCTCATGAGCAGCCTCTCTTAAAGGACAGTATCTGTTTCAACATGAAAAGAATTCCCAAATATGAAGTGGCAGAGAACAGTAACTACTGTAAGTTAAGGTGTATTAGCTGTGCCATCAATTCTAGGTGAGATTTTCGCATATGGTTTGTTAAAATTCTAAACAATTCATGTAACGGCCTCCCTCCCTTACTCCAGAAGAAAGCCAGTCAGCCCTGGAACATGGCAACCAGTAACACAGATTAATCTTCCAGGACAGCAATAATTAATACTAAAAACTACTTACATGGAAGGCAAACTGCCCTGAGAAGTCATACATGCCACAGGAATGCATTAAACTCAAGGTATTCCGAACTGCTTCAGGACTCAGGACTCTTTCACCAGTGATTGGGCAAAAGCCACCATTAGCCAGAGTTGCTGCCATCACGCTTGCCGATTCACACGTTACTTCTATTGAGCAAAGCTTATGAAAAATAAAATGAGATTATAAGAACTGATACTTCTAGCACAATGAAGCCAACTATAGCAGGATCAACAATACATCGCTACAGAAATAACATTTCATAAAATAACCTGTAGCGTAACATTTGTTACAGGTGATGCAAGTAGCATCAATTAATATGGCTGGAATCTTCTTACTATGAAGATCTCAGCAACAGTACTTGTAAGCCCTCCTAATAGTTTGGGAAAGTATTTTACATGAGTTAGTGTCACCGTTTGATTCCTCCCCCCGCCCCCCTTATGTTCCTTTGAGAGGAAGAGGTCTAGAAAACAATTTCAGTATTTTGCATCTGCTTAAATGGCAAAGCCACAGAATGACTGGGTTTTTTCAATTTGAGATTGTTTTGTGTGGCTTTTTAAGCCTTAGAAGACCACACACATCTATTAAAAGTACATTTTAAAGCTGCACACTCTAGCACATGCAAGTCTTAATGCCAGCACTCTCTGCTGATGCAGCCTTATTTCACCTTTCTCTCGTATATGTTTTTTGAAATATTAATGATACGACCACACGATAGTTTCTCCCAGGATCCCTGCTCCAGTACAGACTATACATACTTTGGTGACACATCAGGAAATGTGATATGATGCCATCACCTGATGCTGCCTCATCTCTGCAGAAACCAAAAGATAAGCTGGTTTCAACCTGAAGCTGAAATGCTACTCTGAAAAGTAAACACACTAGTGCTTGTATTCTTGCTTTTGCCAAACAGTCATTACATGATACTTCATGAAGTTACCTAAGCCAAGTTTGCATGAGTAGTTACTACCTGGAATTCTTATTTTCCGGGTGCCAAACTCAATACATCCTAGTCCAATCAACTGGAGTTGCAAATCAAGAGATTGTCAGAGACGCATCTAAAATGGCAACTGTGTTTTAAACATATGAAGTATTACATAATATCACCTACTTTGAAAAAAAGTGTTTCTAGGTTCTCAGTTTAATCACCTGCATTTTGTACCTCGGTTCTCCAAAATGAGAATAATCCATCCTGACTTTACAGAGACAATAGGAAATTAAGTTTATTCCTGTTCAGAAAGTCCCCAACTACACAAGGGAGGAAGAAGCATTACAGAAAATCCAAAGAAAAGAAATAACTGCCTTTGAGGTAGAATCTGAGTAGGGTATTGGAAATTAAGCATCGTAAAAGAAAACAGAATTGCTGCTTATGTATGAGCCGCCCTTTTTCTGACTATGGGGCAAAAAGGGGGTTTTGCAAGGGAAAAAAAAAAAGAATGACACACAATCATTAAACAAGAGATTAAACTAATGCATGGAAGTGAGGCCAAATTGAAATACATCAGAAAAGTTAGTTTTGGCGTTTCTTAGCTTATGAATAGCTTTGCACTCAGAAGGATACCAAGACTGGAGGCAGTGGGATACGAAGCATTTTAAAAGTATGTTTAAACAGTAAATTCAACTAAATTACCAGTTTTGTTCCATAATAACATATGTTCAGCGTAGACTATTAGCTTGTACATAGTTTCCAACTCAACAAAAGGTCAACTGAGGCTAATCACATATACCTTACTTCATAAACAGCCATTCAATTTAAAAATTAGAGCAGGTGCATCTCAACACAATAAACTCATAAAATTTGCATTTTAAAATATTGCTTATAATTTGCACTGGTAAGAGCAAGTCCCATGAATCAAAAACAGATTCATTTTGAGAAATAAACTCTGGATTTTAAATTTTTTTTTAACTATCCCAGATGGACTGAATCAGTAACACAACTTGAACTGCCTCTTGAGAACTACATGCTGCAGAGCTGACTGAGCTGTGAATGCTTTAACATTCGGAAACCCTTACTGAGGAAATACCTCACGCTTGCCAAGTTCTCATTTTGTAACAGTTGCAAATAACTTGCCAGAAGTGAAAAAGAAGGGGAAAAAAAGGTGTGTGGGGGAATATATATATGGCTAGAGTCTTTGTTTTACTCATAAGCATTGAATTAAACAAAATGGAGGAGATATTAACATGATTTCATTTATAACACTACCCTTGAGCTTACAACAGAGCATGCATGCACAGTTTTAATTAAACATGGAGTTCAAAATACTTCACAGTAGAATAAAGAGCAGCAACCCAAAGAAGCAGAAATATTTTGTCAAACTTGCTGAAGTAATACAAGACATTTTAAGCCTCTAACTACTAGTGTTTTAAAGACTATTGCTAGTTTGCATTAGCAATACAGACACTTAAGTACATCACCTAAACAAAAGCCAGTCTGGACACATCAAATGTACATCATTCATCCAAACAGAGTTTAACAGAAGCTGACAAGTTTAACTAGAAGCCATTAAAACCTTCACATCTATGAACAAATCAGCTTCCACTGCTTATAATAGTAATTCTAAATCTATAATGAGTCTCAATTTTAAAGTCAGTTACCTGAAAATAGAAGTCTAGTATAGCAACCATATCCGTGCCTTCAGGAAAGCACTGAGAAAGAAAAATAGAAAGAGTTGTTATGCAACGTTAAGATTACTTTTTAAAATATCCTTTTCAGAGAGACATAAATTAAGCTATAATCTTGTCAGCTTATTAAGCATTAGGTAGATTTAAAATTAAATATTTAAAGTGCAATAGATAGAAATACCACATCATGTCAGATTTCAAAATAACAGCGCAGTGAGGTCAACAAGCTAGGTATTGAAGTATTTTTCAGTACAGTTGTCAACACGTTCAAATGAGCAAACTGCAAAGCACATCTAGGAGTTTTATGAAGTCATCTGTACAGCACAGATTATGCTTTTTATGACAAATAAAATAAATTATCATACCTTTTTTTCTTTCAAGTAATAGCCGATTGCAAAGTTTCTATCTCCACTCTCTCTTTCGGACTGAAACCTTCAAATAAGAAAATTAATTAAAAAAAAAAGATAAGACAACACATCAAACTTTCAAAAAAACCACCGAGCTTCCAAGACACATAATGTAGTTCAATAAAGCTGCATGTAAAGGATACATTACTTCTGAATACAAGCATTCTAATAATGGGACAGGAATTACCACAGAAGCTCACTCCAGTACACCCAGTTGGAGTGAATTAGGTTTGACATCCAAATACACATAATGCTGGTTACCTACACATACATAAGCTGACTTGGAGATAAAACACAAGTGTAAGATCCTTCTCTTATAAGCATTTCTACAAAGGCAGTAGTGGAATGAAACATCCCACAATGAGCTGTAGTGAAATGGTCATTCACCAACTCCACTGACCAAACTAGAGAGGAGCCTGAGGATCCAGCTGCAGGTCAAACAGTGACCCGACTGAAGGCCGCACCGTTTATCGCAATGATGAAGTTCAGGATGAAACCTAGAAGAGGAATCTGTATGGACACAAGGGTACGTAATTCTCTTCTCTCTGGTTCCTTCCACAGTAAACTCTTACATTAACAAAGCTCAGGAAAAACATCAGTTATCTAATGCTGCTTCTCTGCACGTGCATGCCAACGAGCAACCTGGAAGCAAATCTGCTCTGTGGAATCTTTGATTTTCCCAGTGCTGCTTCAAAAAGCTCTCAGATTTTTTGAATGATATACATAAAGTTAATGTGGGAAGAATTGTTTCAGAAAAGATTTTAAATATGCGAAGTAAAAAAAAAATGAAGTCTCAATTGTGTAAAGTATGCTTTCTAAACATTTGATATGCAGCCATTAACATGCAGAGTTTAATTTTTTAATATGAATGTGAGGACAATAAGTGTTGCACTTAACAGCTCTGATTGCCACAGCACCAACAGAGTACTAAGACAGAATAATGACATTTCAAAGAGGTAACCAACACTTATGTGAGAATTAGGCACACAGATAGCAGAGATACGCACAATTTTAGTTCTTGTAAATTTTAAGCCAAAGACACCCTCTAATATTAGGGATGAAATGATGCTTTCAATTCAGATAAGTAAATTCTGCCGTAAGTTCAATATGCCAACTATCAGTTGAGACATTTTCCACCTAGCTTCATGAAGTAAATACAAAGTACTTACGTAGCATTACTGAATCCAACATACTCGTTACCAGCCATTTTATTCATGAATTGCATCACCTGTTAGAGACAGAGAGGAGGGGGGGGAAAAGCATGCTAACATTTTCAGATGTTAAAAAGTCGTAACTGATGAACCTGCAATCCAGCCTTACCCTAAATCTTGTAACAATGTTACAAATGCAATCAGAATCACTAGATGTTTAAATGAGCAATTAGAGACAAAAAGCCAAAACATTTGAAATAGCTAAAATTTCACTTGCAATTCCCTTGCCATCTCTACACTTTTACCACTGAATTTAGTTAAAAACGGAATGTTATAACATTAACTTACGTAGTCAAATTTTTCTGCATTATTTGCTCCTTGCTGCAAGAAAAGAAAAAATAATTTACAAAAACTGTTAACATAACAAATAAGTTAGTTCACTTAACAGTATTAGGATTTTAACACATAGAACTAAGGTACGAGGCTAATTAAGGTACTACAATCATTTAATATATTAATGAAAAAATTAAAGTGTTAGATAAGTAAATCTTTAATTATCATTTAAATTAAATAATTCTATAGGAGTTTTCTCAAACACCTGGATGCTGGAAATTAATTTAAACTGAAAAAGGTATGCTTTATTTTAAGTGCTCTCTATTCAACTTCACATGTTTAGCATAAGTAAATGTAGTAGTTAAAGCAAAATATACAAAAGCAACTACAATCAGTATAATTATAACTAAAACACTAACTGCTTATAGATTAGTAACCCAAAGGTATTCTTGTATTACCAACAGAGCTGAGCATAGGAAAGTTCAGGCTTCTGAAGTTAAAGTACTTCCACGGCTAGCGCCCATACTAAGACTGAAGACTTAAAATAAAGTGTTACCCCTTACTATGAAAATAATTGCATTTAATCAAAAATATATTATTTGATTAGTATCTGATTAAGTTTTAATAGACAGGACATTAAACAGTCACAAAAATAGAATTTCACATTATAGAGCAGAGTACATCACTGTGCTAACAACGTAAGGAAAAATCTAAATCCAACTTAATGAGGATGCTAGTGAAACTTAATTCTTAGGGTTGGTTGGTTTGTTTCTTCAGGAAGGAGGAGTGGTGTTATTTTGGAGCTTTTTTTTTTCCCCCCTTAAGAACATGCTCAAATTTAATAGCTGCCAGTCAAAGATGTATTAAATCTTTACAGGTCTCTGACAGGCAACCTTTCACAAATTCCTATATCAAGACGTTGAAAGACAGGCGGGCGGTAAAAAACCAGCACGTGGTCTATTGGGGGCAGTTTTAAAAATTCTGTTTAAGTAGCCAAGTAGAATTTTTTGAGGAAGTTTAAAAACCAATGGCGTCACATACACAAGTGGAAACAATATACCTGGAGAAGCTGTTTTTATAAATAACTTTAGTATTAAAGATTTTCTGTTTAGATAACGAAACTGTTTAACATATCTCAAACAATTCAAGACACTACTTTCACTGTGTTTATAATAGGAATGTGGAAGGAAGGGGAAAAAACTGAAGCTTTATATAACCAGTATTTTACTTAATGAAATGCGTAAAGCCAGTCTCAATTCCCACTCTCTGTGGATTAGGGTGTTGCAGATAATCTTTGAAGCCTATGCATCAGCTCATCTACAAGAGGATGTGCCGTCACACATGTATGATCACTAGCTGAAAGGAACACCACACTCTCTTGTCAAAATTACACGCCAGTGGTTACCTTACGCTTAAAGGCTAAGAATCTTGCTCGTAAAGGCAATAATCTCTAGCTAATTTGCAGTAAGATAAAAAAACAAAAACATGATACATTTCATCAAAATGTTCCTGTATATTATACCAGAACACAAAGTCTTAAAAATTTAACTCCAAATCTGTTCAATGAAAAATAATTAAAAGAAGAAATTACCAACTTCATTGAACTGTTGCAGTTGTCAAAATATTCCATAGATCCTAATGCTGTAAAATATGTAACAACATTTAAACCACAAAAACCTTTTCAACCTTTCAAATGCACAATGAACATCTTTTTCTGGGAAAGTGGGTCAGCATTAGTTATGGGATGCTGCATTGATAACTGTATGGTTAGACATGTATAATAAATTGAAACAAGTTCTTTTGTTAAAAAAAGAAAGAGGGAGAAAGGGATCATGCTTTCTGCAAAAATATAAATACATCATACTCGACTTCTTTTTTTTTTGCCCAGTTGAAAAAAAAATTCCTAGTCCTTCAACAAAAACCTAGCTTTACTAGTAGTGTATAAAACTGGTGGGCAAAAGACTCAGTGCAAACTTTTTCCACATCAACTTGTTATTAAAAAAGGTTTCTCTTCAAAATTTACATCTAATCTCATATTTTGGGAAGAAAATCTTCTGTAAAGTAACTCACATTACGTGTGTTTTTAGTTTTTGATGTTCCACACACTTGTAAAGGTACTTTATATCAAACAAAAGCATGGTTAATGAAATCCGACTGCTCGTAGACCCAAAATATTTGCCTAAGTAATCATATGACCAAGACCTCAGAACAGATTTAACATAGCACTCAATTAAAACAGAAAACTTTGCTTCCATACGCAAGATGACAACTGAAAAAACCAACATATTATTTCCTCTCTTTCAGCAGCTGACAGAGGTATGCTGCTCCTCTTAAAAAGCTGAAGAGACACAGAGGCATCACACGTTCCATGACCAAAATCCAATTGCAAATATAAAAACCCAATATGAGGAATACTGAGCAACGTTTCCATAATTTCAACAAATATAGGAGACAAGAGAAGTTCTGTTCTTGCACAAGTGCTTCTTATTTTTAGCTTGACTGTATAAGCTTATGAGGTTGGGGGCACTGCGACAGTATTTCTTAATGCTAAAATGCATTTTTATTTAAGTTCGGATGCAATTTATCTGTCTAGGACATCAAAGGAAACATTCCATGCACTAACTTGACAAACCAGACATTTACTGGCACATATGTTCATATACACACTCACTGTATACATGCTTGTGTGTATATACATATGAAAAAACACTTCTAAATGAATACAAAATGAAATTGAAAATGTTAAGATTGAAGCAGTTTGATAGGCAGAAAATTCAAACTTGAAGACAGCTCAATACAAATTTGTAAACACAATGGTTGCTATGGCTGTCAGTCATAAATTTGAATTTTTTTACTGTGTCAGGTTTTAGTGATCTTCCCCCTTTTTTCTTTTCTGTTTGTAAAAACAAGGTACTTTTATCAGTTGTATTTCTACTAGAAAAATATAAACAGTTGTAAAGATTGCATGCCTACACATACATAGGAAAGAAGAGACCCATGGATACTTACCAGAGCTTGCAACAACAAAATTAGGCAATATGTATTAGAAAAGTAGTTCATATTAGCCACTTCTCAGTGATCAACATTCAGTGCTTATACAAGTAAACCACATAAGCTCTTACCATGTGTCTCTTGCTAAAATAATTTTTCAATTTTGAATCTAAGCCAAGCTAATAAAAACACCTGGATCACGAGAAGTTAATCATCTTCTAATAATAGAAGATTTTTTTTTAATCAATATCTGTAATATTTTAAACCAAATTTATAACCTAACACTATGTTGTGATGAAAACATCCGGAAAAAATAATTCTTAACACTGTGTCAGAGTGCAAGAAAGCATCTTTTACGTTTGTGCATTTTACATTAATTTAACTATTAATGTCTTTATTGTAGTTTTCTGTACTCATACACACTTTTAATTTTATTTGTTAATCTGGGCCTGTTCTGAGAACTGGTGTCTTGACTGCTTAGCGTGTCATTTTCAGCTCTGAAATACCTGAGAGCACCCTGACACAGACAGTATTTAACCCACCAAGACCAATACTATTACTATTTCCAATAAATATAAGAATTATTTTTATGTTCTTCAGGTACTAAATACTTGCATGTGTGACCACTGAATACATGTAATTTCAAGTATCGCTACTACATATTCTATGTCAAATAACATCCAATACATTTGAGTTATAATAAAAAGCAAGTGCAGAATAACAGGAACCTACATTCCATCCAAAATAAGCAGCTACAAGAAAATTAATAACACAAGAAGAGAGGGAACGTCACCAAAATAAAGACAAGTATCTCGCAGAGAAGATCACAACCCCAACACGTTTCAAAGTGGCATGTATGTACATTTACATATCAGTCTATCATGAAGGATAACTGCAGTGGGTAGCATTGAGCAATTAAGATAAATCTGTACTATTTACTGTAACTATACTGTCAAATAAACCCACTAAACCATGCATTTTCCCACCCCTTGAGTATTAAACCTTAACTGTAGAGGTTTCCTAATAACTGTATCCTGAGAGCAAACAGACCTTTGGCACAGCTGGACAGATTCTTCCACCACTCTTCGTCCCATTTACTTTATTACTCATCAGCATATTTAGAAAGCTCTTAAGTACATCTGATAGAGCTCTTTATGTTTTGTCCAAAAAAGAAAAGCTTGCATTGAATTAAGTTTTTCCAGGGTCAGTAAGATCAGCGTTTTCATTTTCTTGTACATCAAATTTTTTGCAAGGACTACGAATACTGTTATGTGCCCCCAACATGTCCGAGTGCTTCCCACATTAATTCAACCATAGCTGAATTAACCATCAAAGACTGCCCCTCACTGAGCACTCACATTTGTTGTCACTGTGTAAGATTCTGCATGTGGATGCCAGCACTTAGAGGATTTACATACACTGTACTTGCCCAAACCTTTGCTGTTATACTAGGAAAGCTTTTATCTACAGATGGAATCTTTAAGTAAATACTAAAAAATGACTTAAGATTAATCCCTTGTCCTCTGGTGATTCCTTTCACAGTCATTTGTTTGTTTGTTTGTGGTTTGTTTTTTGTTTTTAACATATTTTGCTCTGAACTCTTCATCTTCATCTCTTGTGCACCTCTAATGCACTGCCCTCCCCAGTCAGTCAAGGTACATGGAAGTGGGCGAGTGCTGACACAACCACTGATATTCCTGGAGTTGACATGCTTTGAGACTTGAGTTTAAGGTTTAGGAAAAAACACTACATCAAAGCATTAAAATCTATCCACATACTACTGCAATAAAGACTTTTCTCAGTCAACATGTTGTACAGAAAGCCGTGTGGTTACAGAGCACTGAATGTGTACTAAATCTGTACAGGAACTGAACCCTCTTTCAAGCACCTGAATTTCCTTGGAGACATGGAAGAATTTACCATTTTATCTAATATTACTTTTCCACAACTCCTGTAATTGCCACTACAATTTTATTTTTATAACAATTATTTTTAAGTTGTTATAACTATCCAATTAATATGACTAGTAATAAAAGCAAATGGCTGTATAATTACGAACAAGGGAAGAGGTCCTTAGGGCTTTTCAAAAATTTTATTTCATTAAAACTGGCCCACAGGATGCTCTTTTGCTAAAGCATTTTTATTGCTTATACATGCTTTAAATTGCTGGAACAGGCTGTGGAGTGTAATGCCAGTACAGCTAGCAGAGAGCGGTGAGTTCAGGCACCAAAGCGTACGTACATCCTAGTTCCAAGCACCCCATAGCAGGAGAATCATTAAAGCTGGTAAAAGCATGGCATGGTCACGCCTAAGTAAGCCAAACAAATGTATGACCTAACATGCACGTATGCTTTATTATTTATTATTATGAACAGGAAAGACTAAATACAACATTAGAGTTTAGGTCTATGCTCTGTTCCAAGGTATGTATATCAAATTCTTAATGCAGCCAGAACTGGGTATGTAATGCTAAGAGCCCTTTTTTCCCCTAAAATGTTAACAATTCTGACAGAAAGATTACTCCAAGCTTCATTTCTAGTCCACAAGGAATCATAATTTGTGTCCAATTTTAAGGGCGGTTGTGTGCAAGTTCAAGCATACTAACAGCTGCTAAATTCAATACAATGTACATAAATTTTGAAAGACTTTTATAAATTTCTCAGAAAGAGATAAAATAATGAGTATCAAAAAAGGTAAAAGCATTCTGAGGGTAGGAAGGCTCTGCAGAGGGACCTGGATAGGCTGAATCAATGGGCTGAGGCCAACTGGATGAGCTTCAACAAGGCCAAGAGCCGGGTCCTGCACTTCGGTCGCAATAACCCCATGCAGCGCTACAGGCTTGGGGACGAGTGGCTGGAGCTGCCAGGCAGAAAAGGACCTGGGGGTGTTGGTGGACAGCAGGATGACCATGAGCCAGCACTGTGCCCTTGTGGCCAAGAAGGCCAATGGCATCCTGGGGTGTATCAGAAGGGGTGGTTGTAGGTGTGAGAGGTTCTCCTTCCCCTCTACTCTGCCCTGGTGAGACCACATCTGGAATATTGTGTCCAGTTCTGGGCCCCTCAGTTCAAGAAGGACAGGGAACTGCTGGAGAGAGTCCAGTGCAGAGCCACAAAGATGATGGAAGGAGTGGAGCATCTCCCTTATGAGGAGCGGCTGAGGGAGCTGGGTCTCTTTAGCTTGGAGAAGAGGAGACGGAGGGGTGACCTCATTCATTTATAAAGGGCGAGTGTGAGGAGGAAGGAGCCAAGCTCCTCTCAGTGACAGCCAATGACAGGACAAGGGACAATGGGTGCAAGCTGGAGCATAGGAGGTTCAATCCGAACATGAGGAAAAACTTTTTACTGTAAGGGTTACAGAGCACTGGACCAGGCTGCCCAGAGAGGTTGTGGAGTCTCCTTCTCTGCAGACATTCAAAACCCACCTCAACGCATTCCTGTGTAACCTCATCTAGGTGTTCCTGCTCCGGCAGGGGGATTGGACTGGACGATCTTTTGAGATCCCTTCCAACTCCTAATATTCTGTGATTCCATGATTCTTAACACTGAAATACAGCAACAATCTCTCCATATCCATCAACTTGCTATCATTAGATAGACTTGTCATACATGGTGAGTTTGACCATGTTTAATAGTCCCTTAATTTCCTTGGATTCTAGGGGCCATACACAGCCTTCAAGATATGCAAGTTAACACCTTAAACACAATGAATGCAGAGGAACTGAGGACAAGATACGGGTTAATGAAGCCACCTCTTCCAGAAAATAAAGTCTTAGATTAGATCAAATATAAGTTTGAATTACTTAAATCGCAGAATAGTTAGTAGGAATAATGTTAGGTTGCACATTTAAAAAAAGTTATTTCATAAAAAAACCTCACAACTATTAAGTAACTTTGTACTTGTGATCCTCTATGTAATTTTCAATAGAATACGTTTAGATCGGTTAGTAATTCAAATGATAAATGGTATCTTAGTGGAAGCAGTACATAAAATAATCTACACTTTAATCACACTAGAAACAAATAATGGAGTGTGAGAAATATGATATGCGTCCATTAGACGTGCAGTTAACACATGCAAAAATGTCAGTGCAATGCAATGCTCTTCATAAAAACAATACAGAAAAAAAATAAAAAACACCCAGCAAAAACAATCCCCCAACCTTCTAACAAATATCACAATTGCATGCAGTAAACAAATCCACGTTATCTGTTTAGAAGTACACCATTTATCAAGGACTATGTGCCTTCTGCAAGAGGCACATGCTTCGTTTTGCCTTATGACCAGTAGGGCATGTTGTAGTAGGACTAACATTTTGACATTTCAGACAAATGTGTTAAGTCAGATTTTAAAATTCACTGTTATCCAAGTGAATTTCAATACTCAGTCAACCTTTAAAAAATATTAAATGTGAATAAATTTACCTGTCATACTTAAGGCCATTTTCTTTCACCTACAGCTATTAAAGATAAATGTCTTTAAGCAGGAGTTCTTACACCTTCTTTAAATATAAAGTAAGAGAAAATCATGATCTAAATAATTTTAAAATCAACAATCTGGAAATAGGAGGTAGGAAACACACTGTAGCCAATGGACTTTGAAACATAACCAAGACAAAGGCTGTAAACAAGATTTTTAGACCTCTGAAGTAACAGTATCCAGTTTTCTACTTCAAAACTCCAGGGAACATGTTCCCTACAATTCTAAGCAGGTATCCTTAAAAAAAAAATAAATAAATTTAAAAAGTAGGTTTTTGTACCAGTGGCTACCAAAAAAGGCAGAAAATACAAGTAAAGTATCTGGCATTAAATGTATTATAAAAGTATTAGCATTAAATGGAATTTATGCTATTTACAGCTTCAAGAGATATATACGGCTACTCTAAGCAAAAATATACAACTCTCCAGAAGTCACAAGACCATGGGCTAAAGACATTAAGTCACCATCCAGCTATGGTTTACTCAACAAAGTGCAGATAACTGTTTCCAAACACTTATTTAAGAAAGCACATTTAACATCCCAACAGAAACTATGTAACATAGAAGTTAAGCATAATTTAGTTGTGCAGTATGTTAATAGCAGACAAATTCAGTATTAAGGCTGACATGCGAATATAGCTGCATTGCTGTACAAAGTAAAGCATCTTCCATTCCTTCTGCACAGCAAGAAACACTCTTGTAACTACACTATGGAAGAGCATGAGACATTCAGAAACGTATTTCTGAGTGCTACAAAGTATATTCCTGAGGACATACTCTCAGCATTTAACAAGTATGAGGCAATTCTCTCCAGAGAATATCAAGTGTAGTACAGTTAAAGAAAGAAACAAAATAAAAGTAAAAACACTAAGGAAAAAGAGTCTTTGGGCTGCACTACTTTTAAAAAAATGCTAGGCTAATATTGCATTTGTTTGGAAGTGTAACCATTTCCAAAACATCAGAGCTTGTTTACCTGCTAGCAAGTAAACTGCCATCAGATATTGCACATACAGAATGAAAACAGTTCATAATCTGTACAAGATACTTTTTCTACATCCTATTAAAATACTCCAAGAGAAACTAAAAATGGACTTTTTACCTTGATTAAAGATGTGATCACAATTGCTCCAGCATTCACCATAGGGTTATGAGGCCTATCTGTGAAATAAAAGTTTTCAATTACAAATATATCCCAAGACACATTTGCCAAACAAAACGAGTCAAGTGTTTAAGTGACAAAATAAATACTAGCGTATGACTTAAACCTATGACTATGGAATATAATCCTAAATTAAACTGCAATCCAGCATTATTCACAACTTTTTGTAATTATGAGTGAAGTATTTTACATCTTAGAAGATACTCAGCCTAATGCTGCTTAACTGTCCAGTAAGTTAATCACTGTGGCACCATTCCTTTCCTTGAAAATTTTGAATCCTCTCCAGTGTTCCAAGATTTGGTCAATGCAATTTTTGCAAACAGAAAAACCCCTAGGGGATTTCCCAGTTTTTCTCCAAGTTACCAAGTCTCAGTGATTTTAAGTGTTCAAACAAGTTCTTTAAAATAAAAGAGAACTCCAGTTCTTGAATTTCCTTAGGGCTGTGCATAAATACAAAATCCCGATTCTTTTTAAAAATCAGGTTTATATTGGCAGCTGTTGAGTAACAAATCATTTACTCATCTTCACTAGAAATTAACTTACTGTGTAACTGACCTGCATATACCCACTTCAGTTTTTATTTTTATCTCTAATCTTCATATTAAGATCATTTTTGCATTCCCAGTCATTCTTGGCTGCTCACGTGAATGAGCTGCTTTCCCCGCCCCTTCCCCAATTGAAAAAAAAGCTTGCTTTATAAGCTATTTTCCCCAAACACTGGTTTTCATTCATCCACATCTACCTCCACCTCCTACAGTCGTTATTTTTTAACTTTTTGCTGTGCCTTCTAACTAGGATGTTGATTTTCAGGAGTTCTGTTATCTGAAAACCTCAGTCAATTCTCAATACATTAATACTGTGACAGGTTTGCTGTTACTTTGTTTATCACCAAATTTGAAAAACTATTCGTTCAAAAACCACACCAAATGTTCCCTATTTATAATATATACATGCACACTGAAAGGATCTTGAGATGACTGCTTTTTGGAGATCAGTCTGATATTCACTGTATATACACAGATACATATTATCCCATGACAATTACACTGGTCATGGTCAATGGCACTTAGCCATCTATGACTATCAGATGACACCCAAAAAATAACCATCTCAAGTTCCTTCTGGTATTTTTCAGAAAGTCAGTATTAAAAGGAAGTTTTAAAACCACAAGTTATTCCATTAGTGAAAAGGTAAGACCAGTATCTGTCCAAAAATGTGAAGCTCCCCTAAAATGCAAACGTAATGTCTATATACTGTTTTTAAAGTTGTTGATGCCATTCATTATCTCTGCAACAGACTCATGAACTGCTCTCATTTCATGTGACTGTACTTAAGACCCACCTCTATCAAACATCCTGTTCTACTCAGGTGACAGTAACACAAAGAACCTGGGTCAAATATATTCAACTTATGATTATCCATAGCTTCCTAACTCCATCTCTCCATAAGGACCACAAACCTGAACACCAGTCAAAAATGTTACAAATTACTATTGGCAGCACCACAGATTGGTGTTCAGAAAGAACATCTGGAGGTCATCTCCTCCACCCTCCCACTCAAAGTAAGGCTACTGCCCAGGTTACATCAGGTCAGTCATACCTTTATCTAGCTGAGTCTTGAAAACCTCGAAAAATGACAAATCCTCTACCTCTCTGGGAATCCCGCTCCTCCTAGAGGACAAGTTTACCCTAACATCCAACTTACCTCCCAGGCCACAGCATGGGGCCACTGGCCTTTCTTATTTCATCGGCCACTACCAACAAGAGTTACACAAATCTTCATTTTCAGGCCTCCTCTTCAAGAGCTTTAAGCGGCTCCCAGAGGAGTCTCTAATCTCCCTTTTTCAACTGCTCCTTAGGAGTTACATGTCTTGGACCCCACAGAACCTTGGCAGTCTTCCACCAGAGACCTCTCATTTTTTCAATATTCTCCTCAAACTGGGGATCCCAACTCCAGGCACATTGTCCACCACAACATTGGCCTCATGCATAACAACATGCTGTCATCCTCATTTCTTGCTCTAGCTATGCTCCTCTTTTCTCCAGCTTCCTCTTTATCAGTATCAGGTATCATTCCAGTCCATAAACACATTAACAACTTAATCATATATAACACATTCTAGAAGTATTTTTATACATGTTTTGCTCTTAATTCTTCTGCACATCTCTATTATTTTAATCTGCCACAGTATTAAAAAAACCCCAAACCCTACATCACATGTATATTTGAATAAAGAGGATGTGTAATCTTTGTTTAGCATTCTGCAACTCAAAAGCTCATCAATGTGGCAAGTCCGCACAACAGAATATACCCTCAGACATTCTATTGCATCTCATTTCTTTGAGGATGTCACCACTTACCTTCAGTGTCACAAGGCATTCTTGGTTACCTTTCCCTCTACTCTGAGATTTCCCGTCTCTCACTGCTTAAACTTCTCAAACTACCTGTACCAGTACTGGCCAATTTACAACCAACACACCACCATGCACTGACCTCACACTAAGAATGGCAAGAACCTTCTGATGAAATGAAACATGGACTTTCCTGAACGTGCTGCTGAAATGAAGCTGTGTTTCATTCCCCTCCTTGACAAGTCAACAAGGAACAATCATCCTCAGAGCCTTAACAGCTAAGGGAAGGCACAGCAGTCTGGCTTAGCACACACTAACAAAAGCTCTTCTTTGAGGGTCTCTCCTACTGCTGCCTCATACCAGCACATCACAGAGCTGAGAAGGACACCTTCCATTAATCCACTGCTGCCTCTTCTGAGCAGAATAAACTCTGTCAGGGTATTCAGGTCCCAGGAAAGCAATGTTCACTATTATCTGGATAGCACCAGATAATACTATCCAAACACTTCCCACACATAGATACTTGTAATTGACAGATAACCCTTCTGTCTTGCCACAATAGCTACAGGCTTCCTAGAGAGGTGGTTAATGCCCCACGCCTGTCAGTGCTTGAGGCATTTGGACAACACCCTTAATACCATGCTTTAACTTTTGGTCAGCCCTGAAGCGGTCAGGCAGTTGGACTAGATGATTGCTCTAAGCCCCTTACAAGCAAAATTTTCTATTCAATTCTACAACAAAGAACGTCTCACAAACTTTAAGTGCCAGGATGCCTAAATAAAATCCTATACTCTGAAAGATTCCTGCTAATTTTAAAAAAGAGACGTCTTCCACTCCCATCAATAAAATTCCCAGGTATTTTTTCACCTGTTAGGGATGTATAGGTTCTGCTGCTACATTAATTTTAAAGGAAAGTCATACATAGGTCATTTTGTAAAGTGGCAGCAACTACTGATTTGCCCCACTGTGAGTGCCACCAGCAAGGGGATTCCACATCGTGTAACAACAAAGAATGAAGATTCATACTATAATTGCAACAGTTTGCCAAAGAGGTGAACAAATGCATCTATTAATCTTCAGAAAGCTCTATCAAACTCTGCAAAGCTAAGCGACATACATCACTAATAACAAAAACACACACATACACTCTCCACATAGAATCAAATAAGGGCAATGATCTGCTCAAACTGGAAAAAAAGCCCCTTTTATGCAGATTCTCTGTAAGTCTTATATTGCTATATCACCTCATTATTTGAGAGTAAATTCATGTTTTTATCCTTAACGAAAAGCACAAGACATAATAACTTCAACTTTAACTGGGGTGCCCTGATTAAGTCTAGCACTGATTCAACGATTTGCCTCTTGCATAAACAACCCACCTAACAGCCTCTAAATAGCAAATATATTATTCTCAGAGACAGTGCTCTGTTTTTCCTATAGGAAGGAGATACTTGTCTAGAACAGCCTTTTACATAGAGAACTGTAATAGATTTAAAAGGTAAATCTAAATTCAAAATAGTAATAAAAAATTATTTAGTTACGTAAAAATCTCTCCACTGGACATCACTACTGAATGGTGAAAAATATGTATTTTTTAATACCTCAAAACTGCTTGACAATTAGCATGATAGGTTTAGCGACCTGCCATGCAGCTATGGCATATGCAAACTAGACCTTTCTCCTGATAAACTCAAATTACAGTGCTTTTCTTCTGCCAGTTCTTCTGACCTTTTTTGTCCATCACTGGCCTTAGGCCTTTGAGCACAGAAAGCAGAGGCTACCACACACACACACACACACACACACACACACACACACACACACACACAATACAGATACTGTAATACACAGAACAGTTCATTATAGCAAATTCTTTCTGAAATTACATCAAAACGGGTTTGCCCAATACAAAAACTTAAAGAATTCCCTCTTTGGTTAGCGAAATCCTTCAGCAAAATAAACAACTTCCTGGCAATTACTCATTCAACTGCAATGCAACATTTATTACTGGACTAAGTTCTACAAATAATTATATTGCTGGACTAATTCTACAAATAATTATCACCAAGAGAAGGTCTTACGTATGGATAAAAGATACTAACTGTACATGTATACATGCATTGTCAGATATCTTGCATTATGAACTCAATAGGCATGAAAAAACCCGCACACAACTCCATGACCACAAAAATTATTCCTGACGATGCCTATCTCAGACAAATTTTGCCATTGAAAACTCCTGATTTACTTCAATCAACTAGAATAATCTGTTTTAATTAACACAGGAAATGCTTTAGTTCTCCAGAAATCTGAATTGTTTGATGGACCATATGATCCCTTTGATAAAAATTTTAAAACTGAATATTCACAAGGCTAAAGAAGTTTCCAAATTTGCATTGCACAACACAGATCTTAAAACATATATGATTTGTATTAACACTTTTTTGTTAAAAGTTAGCATCTTTAGCTATGATCTACAATTGTCTTAAAATACTCTCCATTGTTTACAGCTTGAAACTCAATACTGGTAAACAAAGAGATGAAAGAACACCCTGGTTTAGGACTCTTTGATGTAGTAAATATGAAAAATACCTTCAGGTGCATGTCTAAGCAGTTTTCAACCTGCATATCCCTTCATAAACTCCTGATTACAAACATGAAATTCAGCTATATCAGAGTAATTAGAAAACAAATAGATTAAATACATATTCATTTTCAAATCTGATCCTCATAGTAGTTACGTATGTCCAAACTGTCAAGTACTCTGCATATACAATCTTCATACATCAATTTAAAACTACAAGTGAAGTGTAATCCCTTCTTCCCTCCTCCTCATTCACCCACAAAAACTCAACTTCTTTTTCTGTAACTGAAATGTTCCTATTTATTAGACTTCTGTCTTCTGTTTTAGTCTTTTGTTGAAGGACTGTATAGATCAAAGGCTGTACAGCACATTTTTCTCACATCAGTTATATCAGCCACATAAGCAGTTAAAAATTTAAATTACTATCATGTGAATTAGTCTTCTCTATTAATTTCATGCACACTGGTCTAACTTTCAATAATTCAAATTCTTTTATGGCATAAGAGTCTTATAAACGCTAATAACACCTAAGAGTAATATAATAAAAGACCACCCTCTAATAATTTATCCTCTCTCATAGTTCAATTTTAACAGTAGCAATAAAAAGAATAACTACTACTTCTTCTGTCATTTCATTAAAAATAAAAAACCCTAAACCATCTATTTTGATCCAAAGGAAAAAGTGAGCAATTTCAGCACCATCAAAATATTTTTTTTTTATATGAAAGCTTTCTCAGGACACGAAAGGCAGCCTTCTTCACACTGTACAACATTGTATTTGGAAAAATTGGGAAAGCAAAAAAGGGACAGCAAAGCTTGACAAAACGCTTAATTCCCTCTTGGCGGTATGTTGGTATTTTGTAAACACATAATAAAAAAGAAGAAAGAAATAAAGTAATTATGACAATTTCTAAGTTTGGAAAGATGATCTTAAGGTATGTAATAAACAGAAATACGTATAATTTATAAATTAATACAGATATTCAAGTCAGAATTTAATACAGTCCTTGACAAAAATATCATCCAAGCCTTATGCTGTTAGTTAAATATTAATTGCCAATGCCATGGCAACAGAAACATTGTCTGTTCTCCTACTGAGAAAGATCTGCTAGAAGAAACATTTGTGCTTCAGAGATAACATCCAGTATTTCTTCTAAGGCCCCATGAGTCATACTTCTCAGATTTTTGCCATAATGTTTTTAAAAATAACATTTTCATACTTGAGAATTAGTAGAATATGAAAAAGAAACAATCTAGATAAATACTGTACAAGAAATTCCTGCTAAAGCACCCCTCCCACAGGAATGAAATAAGATAAAATAAAATAAAAACATTGTTTTGAATCAGTAGCCAAATTCAGTTTAAAACGGTCTGTGGGAAGATGTGTTCCATTTCCCTTTCTGGAAACCAGCCAGCGTTGGCCTTTGACACCACCACCTGCTTCTCAGAGGTCCGAGAAGGGAAGCAATATGCATTTCTTAAAATCAATTTAGTATCTGCTATTCTTTCACTGTCATTTACAGAATGTATGATTAAGGAACACTTGCTAGCAACTCAGCTAAATAAACACACATTTCAAATACCTGCACTATCAAAACTCTTCGGGTTTTTTTCCCTGCAGTTGGCTACTAGCAACTAGAAGTAACGAAAGATCTTCTACCAGCATTACAAATCAGGCAAAAATGAGCGACAAAGGATAACCCTACATTGCTGATAGCAAAATATTTTGGGACACTATAATGATAAGACTTAAAAGGATGTAGTAAAATGAAAAGAGTGAAAAAAACCCGCAACATGTAGCTTATTTTATAGTTTTCTAAAATTGAATATTTCCATTATTAAGTATTATGTATCTCTTACCATCTTCATTCAGAAAAAGTTTGTTGAATCTTAATCCACTAGGTTCTTTACCAACGTATCTGTGCACATACTCCGTGCCAAGATCATTAACAGCAACAGCGTATTTCAAAGGCTTTACACAGGACTGAAGACAAAATGGAACTTTGGTATCACCAACAGAATGCCTGGGAAAAAAACACAGATTAAGAGGTTTGAAATTTCTTGGTTGCCAGCTGTGGCAAGTAGTGTTAAATACTTCTTTTATTCTTCAACATACTAGGACTATCAAGAAAAACAGCCCAAAACCAGAAACAGTATTTTTAAAGTCACATTTTAAACAAATGGAACAAAGAGATTTAAAGGTTTTAACAACTGTCCCCAAAACCCCATGTCTCCCCCCATAACAAAGTCACTTGCTGGCCATTAATGCAGATGTAACGAAATAAAAGCAAGTTCATAAGTAAGTTTGTACCAGAGCAAAAGATCACCTCAGAGCTCTAGTATCACACTTACCCTACTCTATTGCAAACCACATACTCAACAGGGCACAGCTGACCTGAATGTAACCACCATGCATGTTTATGTCTATATAAACAAATATGAGATTCAATTCAGCTTTGGTATTCAAGAGCAGAAATCAAATAGCCGTATTTACATTCCCTCCGATAACGGCATAGGTATTTTATTAAAATTATTAAATGCTATCTTTTGGAATGTTTACTTCCAACACCTAAGTCAGACTGCATCAACGAATGACTCATACAAGCAGCATATGCTCCATTCAGAGCAAAAGGCTCCAAGCAACCACTTGTCTGATGGCAAAATCAGAGGCGTTCTGATTCTCTCTTCGTAGAAAATGCGAGGTTTCAAACAGTTCACAAAACCATTTTGCCATTATAAAAACTAACATTACACAACGTTCAACGTTACAAAAATTAGCATTATAAAAATTTTCATTAGTGCACGTCATAGTATCCAAAACAAACCAAAATGCTAACTTAAAATACTAAAGAAGAACATTTTTACTTTTAACGCTGTTTCACTATGAATAAATTATAAAATCACTCCAGCTGTATCTAAGACCTATATACACTCTTACAGGGGAAAGTTTAATAAACCTGAAAAGCAAAATCATGTTCTGTCCAGTTTCCACATCTTAATTTTCTTTTTAAAGAATATGGGTCTGAATCTTTTAAGTGACATATGGTAATCATATAATATAATGTGAAGAACATTAAAACGTAGAAAAGGAAGTAACCTTTAAGTACATCATGACTAACAGCTTATAGCTCAAGGCATGGGTACTATTAGACAAAGCTCTTCGACTTCCACAGATTTATACTACATAAGCATTGTCTCTGTCCTGTCCTTTGGTAATCACTGTAATTACCCACAGCTTCATTACTGTTCTTGGATCGTAAATACAGCATAATCTAGCTTTAAATATACTATATACAAATACTATTTAAATACTATTTTATGATAATAGCATAATAATTCAGCCTAAGAAACGAAGTTGAAAAAATATTAAGAAAGACTACCGAGTGGATTTCACTTCTTAAATAATTCCAATTGGTATCTCATGGTTTAATAAAGAAAAAGGAAGGTTGTATATCATAGAATATCTCAAGTTGGAAGGGACCCAAAAGGATCATCAAGTACAACTTCCTCCTCCTCACAGTATGTCAGATAGTTTAAATAACTGAAACAGTAAAATCTACAAGTTAGAACATACCTCTGTCCATCCACTGTGCAAAGTGACACACCCCACAAATCAGGGCTGAACTTGGCCAGTTGTGGAATATAGTCAGCAACCTATCACAATGTGAAATAAAACCAGAAACATTACAACATCCAAATTATTTAAGGACATGTTAACATACATTAATCAAAAGAAATGCCAATGGAAAGGAAGTTATACCTGAATTATTCCACTAATAATCACCTAGTATATCCAAAACTTCATTACCAATTATTATATTCACTAGATCAGTATAAAGTATATTCTCAGTGAAAGTACAAATTTTAGCACATTCTAAGAGGAATCTTTGTTCTATGTTGTGGCATATTTAGCCTTTTCCAATCATAAAATTTTAGCTTGTAACAAAGTCTGGGATCTTTTAAATGAATTTCTTGAAAATAAGCACTAGAATAAACTTTAATTACTAACACAGGTATGGTGTTGACAACTATTTGAGTCACACCCAGCCTGTCGTGTCGGGTACCATAATACTTTTACAGACCAAGTGTAGTTTGACAAATAATATAGCAGTTTTATAGTTTATGTAAAATAAATACCACAACCATTTTCTCTTTCTAACCTCAAAACTGTAAAAAAACATTAGAGGTATGAAGCTTTATTTCTAACACAGTTTACAAGTTGCAGACATAACTGAACTTCCAAAACTATTTTAATCAAGATATTGGTTTCACATGTTGCTAACAATGTTAAGAACAATCTGTCTATTTAACAAGTGTATTTGGTTAATATAAAGAAATCTACAGAGGTTTGAAGTTGAATATACAAACAGGTTACCTTTCCTCCAGATTGTTTTTTAGCACTTTCATATAACTCATCAATATGTGAAGTAAACGACATAAAATCTGGAATAACAAATTTCCTCCTGAAAGCTTGAGTAAGCAGCACAATATTACTTTGTACACACCTGTAAAAAAGTTTCAAAAGTCTTAGTATTTTGACACAGTACTGTCAAAAAGCCTACTTAAGCAGCACTTACACACACTTTCAATAACGACCATCAGTCCCTTGAAATTATATGCCTACAAGAACAGGTCTTTATTAGAAAAATTTTTCAATTTTCCACTCTATCAGCTATAAATAATTATTTAAAAACTATTTCATTGCATTCTATTTTATGTCTTTTTACTTAAAGCCCTTATTTGAAGTTTCAGCTGTACTGCAAGGCACTATCAATTTGCCTTCGAGCAGCAGCTAAGCTTGCTAACAGAACCTAAACCATCCATTTCTTAGGAGCAAGACATGTGACTGCCACCTAACCCAGCCTATTCCCAAAGAAGTGCTAATTTCAGAGTCAGATCAGACTTCTGAGGTTCAGGGTTGGTTTCTCTCACTTTCAACTGGTTTCACCATGAACTGAACAAGAACTCTGTCAAGAGAGAAACTTCCACTCTAATAAGAGCAAACCTCCGTGGAAATACTCAACAACATTTTCCAACCTAAACAGAACTTAACAGTGAGCAGTACTGCAAGTCTCTAGCTTCAAACCTTCACCAGTTAAGGAATCTGCTGCCCTTTAACCCACAATACTTTATCACCCACACCCTCTGAACATCAGCCCATTTGGTACATTTAAAAAACTGATGAGGTAAAAAGGAAAGGACTTATCTAGGAGAAACAGAAGCAGGGAAGCATCATAACACAAGCTGAGACATGCCGCTTAAAGTGGTGTGCCTGTGGGTGGGGGTGAGTGGGAGCAGGGGTGGAAACTGGGAGCCACTATCACTTAAGTTGCAATATGATCCAATATAGGATAGTAACAGCCCTATCCCAGTGCAAGGCAGAGAAAGGGAGGTTTAACACCAAAGAAACAACTTCCTTAACACGTTCATACTATACAGAAATAAACTTAATTCAGACAAATGGGAAGTTAGGAACATCTAGACCCATATTACAAGTGAGCCCATATCCTTCCAATGAAGACTTATTCAGAAAAGTAAAAAATTCACTTTTAGGGAAATACTTCCACTTGAAATAGATACTTCCAATACTCATATTATTAGAAGTCATTATCAGTTCAAAGTGAAGTTGCATGAAGACCAGTGAACAGACAGAAATATATTCTCTTTGAATTCCGCTCTCTTTCTTTAAAGTTTCACTCTGAACTCCTTTGAACTTAGCAGACTTTATCCCAAATTCAGCTGACAACCATTTCAAACACTGGTGGGCACTACCCTCCAAGAGTGAAAGAGAAACAGTAGAGTAGCATTAAGCACTTGTGTAAGAAAAAAAAATAAAAATTTGAAGTTCACCTAAACCTAGTAAAACAACAAGAATACGAAGTGCAGAGAACAGCAAGGCAGTAGGATGCACTGAAATACAGTCCTCTCACACCACATTATGTTTCTGAAACAGGAAAGGCATTTGTAAACTTACCAATTCACGCCTAGTCTAGGATGTTCACTTCAACAATTCAATCATTTTAAGCTAGAGATGGAAACTCACTGCAGAAACAGCACTCAAGGACATTACCTATTTCTGCAAGAAGTCATTGTTCCCAGACTTCTGCTGATGTCAGTGTCTGGGTATTTAACCTGGTACTTTTTAACCCAGACAAATCATATGAATTCACAGACATTAAATACATTAAATCAATTAATCAAGATGGGTACTCAGAACAATTACTGCATGGACAAAATGACAGGGGTCTTAGCCCAAATTAACGGGGCAGTAATAATTTCAGTCAGCAGAGGACAGGAGCCTTGACAGCCTCTGATATTCTGCAACTGACATCCCCTCCGCACTGGAGTTTCTAACTGGTTTATGTTCCAGGTAACCCTTGGGAGACAAATGGTCTGAGGCTCAGAAGTGGAACAGTAGGAAGAGATTGCAGCGAGGATGTGAATGAATATACTGATAAATAAAAATACTTCTACAGTCAAATTGTACAAACAACACAGCTCTTATCCCCCATGGACTTTAGCAGTGTTCAAGATAGGTATACTAAAAACTTCCCACCTCCAATTCTTCCATTTCTCCAAACTTTATAATCTCATCCTAAAAAACTGTTTTGCCAAATCCCAATCCAAGTTTTTCTTCCCCCATTTGAAAACACGTCTTTTCAAACTACAAAACTTCCCTGATATATTTGGGATAGGAAGATTTGGGTGCAAGCGTTAGAATTTGTAACTTTCAGTCACTGGTATCACCTGAAAGTAACACTTTTGGGTTTTGTGGGTTTTTGTTGTTCTTGGTTTTGTTTGGTTTTTTGAAACTGAATGTTTGGGCCCTAGCACAAAGTCAAAATCACTTTGTTTCCTTTATCATACAACTTGTTACATTTATCCAATCCTTTTCAAGTTCTGGCTCAGATTGCTGTTTATTGCTTC